AACACCATTGAAAGCACAGGGCTTTGGCAGTGACGAATCTCTCACGAGGGGCAGGGGGAGGACTGGGAAAAATGTAATGTGAAAATTATCCATCTCTGTAAGCTTCACCCAGCTGCAGCTCCCAGGAAAGATTTGTTGTGCCAGGCTGCTCTTGGCTCCCAGTACATCCCTGGCTCTCTTTTACTCCCTTTTTTAAGTTAATGGTGACCCCATGGGACAAAGGTCAGCGGCCCAGCCCGTCCCTTCATGGCTCCTAAATGCCGTGGGCACCAGGCTCCTTCCACTCCTCAGTGTGGGAATCCAGGGCTTCCCTCTGGCTGCCCTGGCAGGGCTGGGACCCTGGCAGGGGTCAGGAACCCCCCTGGACAGAGCCCCCAGAGACACTGGCTGTGATCTCTGTCCATGGAAAAGAGTTTTCAATCTTACACGATGAATTACAAGCTCTGAGTGTTTGATATGAGTAATAATTAAGTGTGGCATGGGTGCAAAAGTAAAATTTTAGGATTCTAGATTAGGGGTTCAAAGGGGACAAGATGGAGGAAATTGGGTGTGTCTTGTCCTTTTTCTCCTTCTTCATGCCCTCCATCTTTCACTGTGGTGTTGGCATTTTTCTGTTGGTTCAGGCTGGGGACACACTGTCCAACGTAGGTGACAGATATTGGCACGTTATTGTAAATCCAGCACAGGTAGTTTCTGGTATTTAATGTTTGTAACATCCCACTGAGGGCAGAGCCCCACACGCTGCCCTGCAGGACAGAGCTGCGGCAGGGCAGCAGAACATGTTAGAGATAAACAGAATAAACAACCTTGAAACCAGCACAGATGAATTATGGCTTCTGCTTTGGCAGCGGGGCTGACAGACAGAGACTTTCTACAATCTCGGAATCATCAATAGCACAGATTCCGACACCTCAGGTTCGTGAATCCCTCAGGATTCCCTCAGGGCTCCGCAGGGACCCCACGGCCCCCTCGCCTCACACCCCCAGGGCCTGGCAGCGCCCTCAGGGCAGCACTGATGGGCTCGGGCTCCTCTCACCCTGCTGTGGTCCTGCAGCCCTCACCGACAGCCCGGGGGTCTCCAGCAGCCCCTCACCCACGGGCCTGGCGTCTCTCCTACCCCAAAATGGGGGGAGAACCTAAAGCCCCTCACCGACGGTCCCGGGGGTCTTCCCGACCTCGGGCGCACTACAGCCCCCGAGCACGGGCCGAGGCGCTCTGCTGACCCGAGGACTCCTCACCCACAGGCCTGGAAGCTCTCCTGCCCCAGAACGGTCCTGCAGCCCCTCACCGACAGTTCTGGAGGCCCTCACCGCGAGCTCGCCGGGGCACCGTGCGGCGCCGGGGCTCGAACCTGCGGCTCTCCCGGCTCGGCGGAGGGCTCGCGTCCCGTCACCACAGCGACGCGGCCGCTCCCGCAGGCCCCCGAAGCCTCGCGGGACCCCGGCCCGGCCCCGCGTGCTGGGGGCGTGCCCGTGAGGCCGCCGCCGCCATGATGGGTGTGGGCAGCCCTGACCGGCCCCGGTGGGGCGGGGGTCTCCCCGTCCCGTCCCGTCCCGTCCCGTCCCGTCCCGTCCCGTCCCGTCCCGTGGGAGCTGGCGGTGCTGCACGGCCACCATGTCCCCTTTGCAGCCTGGTGTGCCCGGCTGCTGCCAGAGCCCACTGCTGGCCTCCCGGGCTGGCACAGGCCGCCCGGGCACTCCCTCACACCCGCCGGGGGCCCTGGGGCGGTGGGAGCGGGGTGCCCGCGGGCCGGGCTGCGGTGGCGTCCCTGTGGCGGGGACAATGACTTTGTGTCCCCGCGGTCACAGAGGGCTTGGGCAGCCCCCCGAGCTCCCCGCAGGTTTGCAGTGTGGGGAGTACAGAGTTTTAGGGCACCCCACTGCCAGCAGCGCGACTTTTGGGGCGGGAGCCGGACCCCCGGAGCGGGTTGGCCCGTTCCCGGGGAGGGGATGCCCAGAATAGCTCCGCTATCTGATTCCGAGGGGCCGCGGCCGTCTGCTCCGCCGGCTCCCGGGGCTGACATTTGAGCCCAGCCGCGGGACGGGACAGGACGGGACGGGACGGGACTGCCCGGGCTCCCCCGGCACTCCGGGATGGCGGGCGGGAGGCGCCGGGCGGGCGGCGGGCGGCGCGGGGGAGCCCGGCAGCACCCGGGGACCCCCGCACCGGCCTCCCCACGCCCACCCGCACCTCCCTCTGCTGCAGCCACCACGGCCCAGCCACACGCAGCCGCTGCCCCCAAAACCGGCCGCTCCAAGAAGGCCCCCGTGGAGTCAGCGGTGAGAGCTCCAGACGTGGACTCGCTGGGCTTTCAGGCCATGGACCGCAACGTGCCGGGGCTGTCCCACGTCATCCTGCAGAAGCTCAACATGAAGAGCTATGAGGACTACAAGTGAGTCAGCATCCATGGGTGCCTATTCCCTACCCCTTCCCCCGGGAAGAGCATCCCGTGTGTCCCCAGCTCCCATGGCTCATCCCACCGTCCCGGCTCAGCCCACAGGGAGCTCTGACGGGCTCTTGGGTGGACCCCTCCAGAGCGCCTGGCTCCCTCTCCCCACCCAGGCCAGGATGCTCCTGACTGGAGCTAAAAAGCTTGGCAGCCTCAGAGGACATCTGCCCCACCGTTGTGGCATAGGGCTGGATTCTGCTCACCTTCTGACATCTGCAGGTCTGCCATGGATGGGAGGAAGAGAGGCAGCGATTTCGGCATCCGGACGTATTTTGACATGTTCCAGAAGATGGAGGACACCTTCAAGTTTTGTGTTGAGTGCAAGAAGCTCCCTAATGCCCTCCCGGACCCCAAAAGCCTCCGGCGTTGTAAGAGGTATGGTGGGGAGATGGTCTGATGGCACAGGGATGGGTGCATCCCTCACTTCCAGCCTGGTGGCTGGGGTGAAGTGAGGGGTCTCTGACCCCAGTGCCCACCTCCAGCCACAGGGCACCCCCAGAACAGTGACACAGCCCTGAGGGGGTGTGGCACAGAGCCAGGCTTGGTGGGCTGGATTGTGCCCCTCCTCCCCATGGCTAGGCATGCTGCCTGTCTGCCCAGGTGCCAAAATGTGTACTACTGCGGCGTGGCGTGCCAGCGTGCCAACTGGCCACTGCACAAGAAGTTCTGCAAGAAGCTGAAGCTGGTGGCCCTGGACCGGCTGGTGGAGTGGCTTGTCTTCACAGGTGAGGGATGTGTCCCCCTGGACCTGCCTGACCCCATCCCCGGCTGCACAGGTCCTGTGGTGGGATGTAGTGTCCTTTCTCCAGCCCCACTCCCACAGCACGGGTGGGACAGGCAGCCTGGGCTGTGGCACCACCACTGTACCCTCCAACCTCCTCCTGACGCCCCAGGAGACATCCCATTTCCCACGGACACCTGGACAAAACCTGCCCGGGACGTGAAGGGCTGGGAGGACTGGTTCTCCATGCAGGAGCAGCTGGAGGAGAAGCTGGGTGCCATCGTGGCCGGGCGGTACATGACCCTGCTGTGGGCCAACGCCGGGAAGCCGCGGCCGGAGGACGCGGAGCTGCGGGAATCCATCCGGCGCCTGGTCACCGACTTCCACTCGCGGCCGCTCACCATCGGCCTGGCACTGCGGCTTTTTGGCATCGACCCCCTCACCAGGCCCCTCACCGTGCACGTGGTGGGGGCTTCCCACGTGGAGACCCTCAACACGCGGCTGACGGACTACGACGAGCTGACACGGATGTTCCCGGGGCACCAGGGCGTGGAGATGGTGATGGTGGGGGTGGACGTGGTGGACGGACCCATCATGAGGCCACCCCTGACCACGCTGGCGCCCCGGGGAAAAGTCTATCTCAGCAGCTACAAGGGGCTCTACCACGATTTCTGGGAAAGCCAAGTAGAGACCAAGCTGGCCGCCCCTCCTGACCTGGTGGTGGGCTTTCACCCAGGTAAGTGCCTGCGCCATGGAGGGGTCGGACGCTCACACCCCGCTGCTGGAATAGGGACAATTGCACGGCACATGGGCTCAGGGACCGCCCTGAGCACCCTGGCAGCACCTGTGGCTGGGCCTGAAGGTGGCCTGGGACATACTCAGGGCTTTGCACCAAGGCACATTGGGCAGCTGGGGGGAACTCCTGGGACACAGCTGCCTTGTCTCCCCACCAGGCACTCTGTCCTGCCTGTGTCACCCATCTGCAGGTGAAATGCATCCTTCCCTTCAGGTCTTGGTGCTGTGGCTTAGCCCAGGTCCCAGAGTTTGGGGTGCCCCACATACTGGTGGAGAGCCAGACCTCACCTTGCTGAGGGCTGCCAAACTCACTGCATAATTGGAGTGTCCAGCACAGAGTGGATGCAGTTAGAGCCGGCTTTCCCCGGGGCCAGGGTGGGATGGGAAAGAGGTGAAATCCTCATGGCTGTGTCCCCACAGGTTTCCATGCCTGCCCGGACCTGCTGGCGGGCTGGCTGCCCACCCTGCTGCTGCTGCGGGACTATCGCCTGCCCGTGCTCTTCACCGTGTACAGGTGAGAACAGCCCCACTGCCCCCGTGAGCTGGCACAGGCACCCAGTCACCACACCTGTCCTCTCTTCTGGCAGTGAGCAGGAGCTGAAGGCTTCCCTGCAGATCCTTGTGGAGCTCGAGACGCACATTGTGGGTTATGCCAGCAACCCCTTTGCCTCACTGCGGCCTGAGCAGGTCTACTCCAGCCCCAACAAGCCGCCCGTCTACTGCAGCTCCCACTACATCGCCCTGCTGGGAGCAGAGGCTGTGCCGGGGGCTGAGGAGCTGGAGGATGATGATGGCTGGCAGGGAGGAGAGCCCAGTGCTGCTGCTGTGGCTGGGGGCACTGCCCCAGGGCTGGGCTGATTCCTGCCTGCCCTGACTGTGCGACCCCCAGAGCCTTGCTGCCCATCCAGGACCCCATCCTGGGATCAGCGATCCAGAAATGCCTCACTGCACACATGGAGGCCTGAGGGATGCAGCACCCCAGCACAGGCGTGGCACCCTTTCACAGCATCAAATAAATCACTATCAGCAGCCAGCTGCCGTGTCTCGAGTTTATTTCCAAAAAGGCCTTTGTTTTCCCAAAGAAAACGAGGGGCTGAGCCCACCCCAGCCCCCCTCGAGCAGCCACGGCCTCTGGAGGGACAGCGAAGGGGACCCTGACTGCGGGACCAGCCGTGCACGGGGCTCTGCAGCGCCTTGGGGTCCGGTGGGGAGCCCCAGCCCAGCGCTTGGCTGTCACCGTCACCCTCACTGTGCCCCCACGCTGGTGCCTACCCTGCAGGGCACTGCTCCAGCCTGGCACCGGCCACCAGCCCGGCTACGGCAAGTGGGCACCAGCTGACACCTCCCCACTGCTCGCCAGCCTCGGTGGCCCTTGCGAAGCAGCGGGGCGGGCGGAGCGGAGGGAAGCGGCTCCTGCGGCCTTGCCCGGTGCTGCCGGTGCCCGCGCCGGTCCCTCCGGGTACAGCGGTGCACCGAGCCGTGCGGGCACCCACGGCGGCTCAGCAGCACCCCAGGGCTGCCAGCGCCCTGCCAGCGGGGCCGGGTGCGTGGCTGGGCTCTGCCGGGGCGTTGGCAGAGCGGGCGGCAGAGCGGGCACAGTCCGGCACGGAACGGCCCACAGGCCTCACTCGGCCCCAGCACGTTCCCGCAGCGCGGGCAGCGTCAGCGTCTCCGGCGCCGACTTCTTCCGCGGGCGAGTCTTGGGGGGAGCCAGGAACTCGGGGGCCTCGTCGCTGAGAGGGGTGGAGGGGGCGCTGGCAGGGGCCGAGTGCGTGGCCGCGGGCTGCCCCACCTCGCTGACCGAGATGGCCGGTGCCACCAGGCCGATGAGCTCGTTGGTGGCCTCCTGCGTCTCCTGCTCGTAGCGCCGCACCTCCTCCATCGTCATCCCTGCCGAGCACAGCCGGGCTTGGGGCCGCTCGGCACGGCCGCGTCCGGCACCCCCTCATCCCGGGCAGCCCGCGCCCCGATCCCCACCGAGATGGGGAACAGGAAGGGGACAGGCACTGGGGACAGCGGGACGGGCAGGGAAGGGGATGCTGGGCTTCACAGCCAGCTCCCCAACTCCAGCAGAGGGGAAGGGATGGACAGGCAGCGCAGGCAGCGCAGGCAGGGGACACGCAGGGAGGGCAGCTGGAAGGGGGACACTCCGCCGCGGGGTGCAGGGGGGGCACAAGCCCCCCTGCCTGCACCCACCCCCTGGCAGCAAGGCGGGGTCCAGAGTGTCCGTCCCTGGCAGGCAGAAGGGCTTAGGGGTGCTGGCTCCCCAGCTTTTGATTTGTGGCCACTTGCATCTGAGTCTCGAAGGCCCGGACTTCTTCCAGGGACATGTCTGGAAGGCAGAGAGCCGCTCGCCGGGTTGGCCTGGCACCCACCGCCACTGTCACCAAACCCCTGTGCCTGCACGTGGCGTGTCCCTGCCAGAACGGGGGTGCAGGCAGCACAGGCAGGGTGCTGAGACTCCTCTGCCATCCTCCCCGAGGGGTGCAGGGGTGCAGGCAGGGGTGAGCTGGAAGCGCAGACAGGGCAGGCAGCACAGGCAGTGCAGGCAATGCAGGCAGAGCAGGCACAGGCAGAGGACCAGCAGAAGCTGTGGCGGGGTCAGTGGCATCAGCAGTCTGACCTGCAGCCCCTCCCTCCCTGGGCACCGTGTGCCCCCTCCCCACTGTGCTGGGGTGACCCCACGGACTCACCACACCACTCATCCACCCAGGCGAAAGCCTGACGGTGTCCAATCAGCAGGATGTCCCGGATCACCTGCAGCACCATGCGGGTCAGCACCCTGTCACTGTCCTCCCAGTGCCCCCCAGCCCCCCCTTGTGCCCCCTCACCTTGTGCACGAACTGCTCCACCCGCGTCTGCAGCCCCCACACCTCGAACTTGACGCTCACCAGTTTGTAGGAGCACATGATGGGCTGGGTGTGCTGGCGCCAGCCCTCCCGCAGCGGCCCCCGGCCCGTCTTGGCCGAGCTGAAGAAACGGGGGTCCTGGGGGGATGGGGAACATCAGGGTCAGAGTCCCCCCTTGGGACAGGAGACGAGGGGTGGCCCCAGGGGACTCCCTCATCCCCAGCCCTGGCACCTCCAGGCTGCGGTAGTAGCGCTCGGGGATCTCATCGAAGGCGATGTCCAGGAAAGAGACCTCGTGGTCGCCCAGGATTTTGTCACTGTGGAAGATCTGGGGAGGGGAGGGAGGGAGGGTGAGTGACACGGAGCACAGGTGACAAGTTTGCCAGTTCTCAGCTGCAGTGCGCACTCACGTTCTCGCTGTCCCCGCAGTTGTCCTCGTACTTGGTCTCGATGTAGATGGAGAACTTGGGCAGGAAGGAGCACTGCAGGGAGTGGCTGTCAGCTGCCCATTCCCAGGGATGCCCACCTGAGGGACACCCCACCCCAAGGGACACTCCAGCCCCAACAATGCCCATCCCCAAAAGATGTGCAGTCCAGGGACACTGATCCTGAGGGACACCCATCCAAAGAACACCCAGCCTTGAGGGACATCCACCTCCAAGGATGATCATCCTCAAGGAGCACCCAGCCACAAGGACACCCTCTCCAGGGGAATCCCATCCCCAGGGAAATCTGAGCCCCAAGGGACACCCACCCTGAGGGATGCCCAGCCCTAAGGACACCCAGCCAAGGGCCACCCACCATGGTGACACCCACCCTGAGGGACACCCACCCCCAAAAATGCTCCCCCAGCACCGCCATCCCAGCCACCTGCTGGGGGAGGGGACAGGTCATCCCATGCCACCTCCTTACCGTGTACTCTGCAGGGACACCATGGCACAGTGGCATCACAGGGTGGCATCACCGGGTCATGTCACGGGGGAGAGAGGGAGCAGTGAGACGGGGGGCAGCTCCTGCAGCCCCCCACCGCTGGGCAGGCACAGGGTGCCCAGGGGTGCCCGTCCCACGCCCTGCCCAGGGCTCACCCGTGATGGTGTAGGGGTAGTAGTTCCAGGCCTTCTCGGTGATGTAGAAGATGCGGGGGGTCACTGCCCGTGCCCAGCTCGGCAGTTTGCTGTGGGCACCGTGTCAGGGGACCCCCTCAGGACAGGTGCCACCCAGCCCTGCTCTGCCAAACACAGCCTGGCTCTGGGACCCTCATGCCCACCCCAGGAACCCCACCTGCTACCTGGCACCTTCACTTCCACCCCAGGATACCCCCAGAGACCCTCACCTGCACCTCAGGACCCTCATCTGCATCCCAGCACCTCTCCCAGGAGCCACTGCAACCTCCCCAGCACCTGCATCTGTATTCCAACACTGTCATGTGCACCCCCAGGGACCCCTGTCACCCCCCCAGGACCCTCACCCTGCCCCACTCCTCACCTCTCACCCTCACCTCCACTCCAAGATGCCTCCAGGGACCCTCACCTGCACCTCAGAACATCCCCAAGGAGCCCTGTTACCTCCCAGGAGCCTCATTTACAGCCCTGGATCATCACCTGCACCTACAACACCCTCAGGGACTCCTGTCGCCTCCCCAGTGTCCCAGCATTGCCCCACCAAGACCTCTGCCACCTCCCCAGCACCTTCATCTGCACACCAGGACCCCCCAGGGATCTGTGCCAGCTCCTCATCTCCACCCCAGTGCCCCCATCCTCTGCTCAGGTTCCCCACCTCCTCCCCAGACACCCTGACCCCCTCCCCAGGGAACACCCACCCTCCCCAGGGCTGAACCCCCCGGGTGCTCCTGTCCCCTCCCAGCACCCCGGCAGGATCGGGCCCCCCTGGGGAGTCGGGAGGTGGGTTTTGATTAATTTTCAGGTGTTATAAATAAATTTCAGGCGAGAGGGAATCGTGAGCGCTGCAGCTAAAAATAACCTGTCTCACACCAGCAGCCCCTGGTGGGGAGCAGCCCGTGTCCGCAGGCAGGGGAGGGGACACGGGGACAGTGGTGCTGGGGGGCAGCCACCGCCCCACGGTGACACCCCAGGGCCAGGACATTGCCAAACCCCTGATCAGGCACCCAGCAGCACCCAGAGGTGGGTGCCCACCAGAGAGGGGTGGGTGCACCCCTGCAAGGTGGGTGCATGTCCTGAGGTGGGTGCAGCCCATGAGAAGAGGGCAGCCCCCCAGAGAGGAGGTGAACCCCTAGGATGGATGGCACCCCAAGTGAACACCCTGGGACAGCTCCCAAGGGTGGGTGCAGCCCCCGAAAACAAGTGCACCCCAGGAGATGGGTGCAGCCCCCCGAGATGGGAGCACCCCAGGAGATGGATACACCCTGAGAGATAAAGGCAGCTCCCAAAATTGAATGCACACCCCAAAGATGGGTGCACCCCAGGACTTGGGAACCCCACTGGGAGACACAAACATGCAGCCCTTGGAGATGTGTGGGTGCCTGGGAGATGGGTGCAGCCCCCCAAGATCAGCGCACCCCAGGAGATGGGGGCACCCCTGGGAAACGATGGAGGGAGCTCAGGAAATAACGGGGTGACCCTGGGAATCAGCCCCTCTGCAGCGTGCCCAGACCCAGGCAGGAGGTTCCCCAGGAATTCTGGAGGAAGAGCTGGGGCCACCCCGCTGCCTGCCCATGCCCCCCACGCCGTGTCCCCCCCACCACAGGCTCACCTGGAGAGGTGGACACGCTTCTCCGTGAACTGGCCGGGGCCGTGCACGGGGTCCTCGTGGGGCTCGTTCTTCACCACCTCCACGCCCTCGCCCTTCTCGCTCTCCTGGTGGCTGTGCTTGCTGATGGTGTAGAGCTGCCCCACGCGGTACTGCAGGGGCAGAGCCCGCCCTCAGTGCCACGCTGCCCAGAGGGGAAACTGAGGCACGGAGCAAGGGCTGGCAGACCCCTTGGCAGGTTCCTGGGGTACCCATGTGAGCTCCCGTGTCCCCAGGCTGCCCCAGCTCCCAGGCAAGGGCTGGATCCTGCTCTCCCTGGGCTCTCCTTGAGGAATGCTTGGAGGTTTTCTACTCGGCAAACTACCCGGGAGCCAGGGGAAAATGTATCTATAGATCTATGTGGATGTGTCCGTATATAACCGTAAGGGTGTAGCTGTGCATTTGGTGATGCAGCTGTGCAATTAGGGTTTGGCTGTTCTGCTGAAGATCCCATTCACCGCCGCAATCACCAGCAGGATTTTACCATCCCGCTCTGCCCAAACTAAAACCTTCCCCAGGTGCCTCCAAGGAGGGATGGCACTGGGGGTGCCAAAACGTCGGCACCACGAGAGACCTTTGCCCGGGGGTGCTGCCAGCTGTCAGCGCCGTTTGCCGATGCTGTTCAAGCTCCCTGCCGGGGCAGGGATGGAGTTTATGGTCCCTGTCGTGCCACGGGCATCCAAACCCCAGGTGCCCTTCGCCTGCTGGTGCATCCCTTGGTCCTGCCGTGCCCCGAGGTCGCCGTGCCCAGGGTCGGGATGTCCGCCCCACCCGCACCCCACGGTACAGCTCGGCCCTGGCACGGAACATCCCATGCCCATCCCCATCCCTGCCACAAGCCGTGCCACAGCAAAGGGGTCACCGTGTCCCTCCCAGGGCAGGAACCGACCCCCTGGAGCTGCTCTGGGTGTGAGACCCTCACCCCACCCTCCATCCGTCCGTCCCCGCGGCCCCTGAGCTTACCTCCTCGGTGGTGAGCGGCATGCAGATGCGGTACTCCTTGACGAGCATGGTGACACTTGGGGCAGGGTGGCACGGGCAGGGTGGGCAGGACGGGGTCAGGCGGAGGCGTCGGCGCTGCCGGGGACGCGGCTCATGCTGGGGACAGCGGAGCGGGGCGGACGCGCCGCCGCCTCCCACGCTCCGGTCCCGGCAGCCGCTCGCCGTGACTTCACGAGCCGTTGCCATGGCAGTGGCGTGAGGTCACCCGTGCGAGGAGCAGCACGGCTGGACCCAGCTGGGGACACCCCGGCACCCCAAAACCCTCCCGGCCTTAATCCCTTCCCCGCCAGGCCGACAAACGCGTCCCTACCCAGCTGGCTCGGAGCACGCCTGTCCCCCCAAAATAGGGTGCTGTCCCTTCGGGGTGCCACATCCCCACCCAGCTGCGGTGGCAAGAGGGTTGCAGGGACATGAGGATGCGGTCAGACTTGGCCGATGCCCCTGAGGACCCACCCCTGGGCACCCACACTGTCCTGTCCCCAGGGGTGCTCCCCGGCGGCAGAGGATCGTGTCCCTGCTGGAGGACATCCCCTGCCCGGGCAGGAGTTGGATCCCTTCCCCCAGCACCTCTCCCAGCCAGCACCCACCACAGGGCTGCCCCCAGCACCCACCACACCCATGGCACTGCCAGGCTGTCACACTGCCAGGCTGGGGATGCTCAGAGTGAGCATCAGCACGGCTCAGGGGGCTCCTGGATGGGCCCCCCCAGCCCCACAGAGAAGAGAGGGGACGTGGACCCTCCTGAAAGTCACCCCGGATGAGGGTTAGGCCTTGGAAGGGCAGATGGGGGCTCACATGGGATTTTGTCTGAGGCAACTTGTCCAGCTGGGGACACAGGAACATCCTTGGGGGTACAGGGTCACAGCAGGACACAAAGGTGTCTTTGGGGGCACCGGGGGACACAGGAGTGTCCCTGGGGCCACAGAGCCATCTGAGGCTACAGGGGCATCCCTGGGGGACGCAGGGACACCCTGCTGACAGGGCAGAGGGCTGGGTGCTGGTGCCAGATGCAGGAACCCCAACACCGGGGCAGAGGCAGCCCCGGCAAACGGGAGGGGACACGCCGGGGACTCACCGGAGCGCTGCAGGGCACGGCACTCCCCTCCCCATCCCGGCAGCTCGGAACGGCCCCCGCCCGGTGGGGAAGGAGGAGCCCCCCGGCCGGGCTCAGCCGCCCCTTCCCCACCGCCGCATCCCCCCCGGGCCGGATCCCACCGCCCCCCGCACTCACCGGCCCGCGCCGGTGCCCGCTCCCACCGCCGCCGCCGCCGCCGCCGTGCCCCGGCCGTCCCGGGCCGTGCGCAGGAGCGAGCCGCCCCCCGCACCGCCTCCCGCGCCGCGGCACACCGACCCCTAGGGGGAGGAATGCACCGGCACCGCACCGGTACCGCGCCTGGACCGGCACCGGCACCGGCAACGCACCAGCACCGGCACCGGCAACACACCGGCATCAGCACCGGCACCGCACCGGCACCGCACCGGCACCGCACCTCAGTGACAGCGACACCGGCATCGCACCGCGCCTGGACCGGCACCGGCACCGCACCGGCACCGCACCGGCACCGACACCGGCATCGCACCGCGCCTGGACCGGCGCCGGCACCGGCACCGCACCGGCACCGCGCCTGGACCGGCACCGCACCGGCACCGGCACCGGCACCTCAGTGACAGGGACACCGGCACCACGGCACCGTGGCACGGCACCGAGAGACCCTCCAGCATCAGGACTCCTCTGGCACGGCACAGACCGGCACCAGGGCACCCCTGGCACGGCCCAGACCGGCACCGGCGCACCCCTGGCACGGCACAGCCCGGCACCGGGGCACCCCTGGCACGGCACAGACTGGCACCGGGGCACCCCTGGCACGGCACAGACCGGCACCGGGGCACCCTGGCACGGCACAGACCGGCGCCGGGGCACCCCTGGCACGGCACAGACCGGTGCCAGGGCTTCCCGCACCCACCAGGTCTCAGGTCCTCCAGCGACCCCCGGCACCGCCCTGTGCCCCGGCTGTGCCGGCTGGGAGATGCCCCGATGGGATGGGCATCCACCCCGAGCTCCTGGGATGCACCCCCTGGGAACCCCCAAAGCTCCTCCAGCCACTCACCTGCACCCCGCTGCCAGCCTGGCCCCTGTGCCCCCAGCCTCAGCACACCCCACGTGCTGGCACTGCCCATGTGCCACCCACAGCCACGCGTTACAGCACGGCTCATCACCAGTGTCACCGCTGTCACTCCCTGCGCCTCCCGTCCTCCTTCCTCTGCCAATTTCCACCATCCTGGGCATTGCTGGGCTGGACTGTGCCTCACCACTGTCATTTTCCTGTTATTTCCTCCTAAAACTCTGCCATGCCCATCAGTGCCAGCGTGGTGGCCACTGTGGGGACAGGGATCGGGCAAAGGGAATGCCCCCCAGGGCATCCTGTGGTGTTGACATCACTGGCACTGCTGGGACCCAGCCTTGCAGTGGCCCTGGCACTGCCCATACAAGTCCCACCTGCACTGGGGTACCTGTGGGGTACCGTGATTGCCAGTCTGTGCCATCTGCTGGTGGTGGGAGCCCCACTTTGTGCCACCCTGTGAGCCCCGGGGCAGTGTGATGGCCCCAGGCTGTAGCCAGGACAAGCAGTGGCAGAAGGAGCAGCATGGGGACAGTGGCCCCAAAACCTGCCAGGGTGCCCCACGGGCACCCATCCCACATCCGGGAGCGCGGTGCCAGGAGCTCTGCCCGCAGGCACACCTTCCCTGCCTGCCCTGCGCCGCTGCCTTCTTCCCACATACCAGCCTCTGGTGTCACTGTCCCCCCGTGGTGTGTGTCAGTGCCCCCAGCTCTGCTGGCACTGGGTGGCAGCCACCCCCCTCCCCATTTCCCCCAGGAGGGGACACCACAGCAGCCCCCAAAGGAAGACTCCAGCCCATGTGGCTGGAACCACACCCCGCAGGGCTCCCACTGGGGTGACTGTGGCGGTGACAAGGACCTGGCCATGCTGGTGACAAGTACCCGGCGGGCTCTCAGCCCCCCCCAACAGCTGCATTCCTCCTGAACCTGTTTGGCAGGGCTCTGTCCAAGTACCAAGAAAAAGGCATCTGGGTTGGGCTTTCCCTGGTCATGCCCTGCTTCACTCCAGTGCGGAGTGAACAAGGAGTGGGAAGGATTTTCTGGAGCCTGGTGCCCCCACAGTGCTGCTGGTGCCCCCCAAAGTCACCCACAGCTGCCAGTGCCAATGGTGCCCACCAGTTTCTCACCCCCCAGCAGGGATCCTGCAGAGGGTTGGGAGGGGGAAGAAAGAGGAAGCAGAAACAGGTGAAAAATGACCCAATTTAATCCCAAAACCCCCTCAAACTCCAGAGTTTCGGGAGCCCGTGGTGGCCCCTCCAGCCCCCTGTCTGTGCAGCCCTGGGAGCACTCCCGGCTCTCTGTGCAGCGTGGGGACAAGGAGCTCTCCGAGGCACCCGGCCTCTTCCTCAGCTCCACCGGCACCGCCACCACCACCAGCACTGGCACTGCCACCGCCCCGAGCCCCCCCCGAGCCCTTAGGGAGGTGCCCTGAAAAAAACCATCCTGGTGGAGTAAACCAGGTCCACCAAGTAGGCGATGAGGTTGAAGATGGTGAGGAAGGTGACCCCCAGGTGCTTGTTCCACCAGCACTCCGAGTCGCAGGGGTCGGGGCGGCTCTGTCCCCGGAAGCTGTAGAGAGGCCACAGGATGGTGGCAGTGAGGTACATCAGCAGGGCCAGGAAGTTGTAGCCCACCAGCACCTTCTCCAGCGGGCAGGGAATGTAGGCGAGGCAGCGACCGATGGTGAAGATGATGATGAGGAGGGTGAAGATGAAGCAGATGGAGTAGACAGCCACGCACCACATCAGGCCAGGTTCCCCATTGTATTTGTCCAGCAAGGAGAAGATCAGGCAGGCCACATAGGCTTCAAAGACCTTGAGGAGGCCAGGCACGGTGGAGAGGAAGCTGCTGATGTCCCCGGGCTTGGCGCGGGTCAGCGACACCTCCACGGCGTAGGCGAGGAAGCAGAGGCAGGAGGCGGCGGTGGCCACGGCCTGCCGGGCACAGCGGCTGCCGCTGCAGGGGCTGCGGATCAAGGTGGAAGGGAACACCACCGAGGAGGTGAAGACCATCAGAGCGGCCAGCATGGAGAAAGCCGAGGTGAAGTCATCCCAGGAGAGCGGCAGCAGAGGGTAGAGCTCCAGCAGCTCCAGCAGCAGCACCAGCAGCGTCACGGCGAAGCAGAAGCACCAGGTGAACATGCACCACGTCCCGTAGGGACCCCCAAAGTGCCCGGTGGAGGCCACCAAGCTGAAGGTGAGGCAGGACAGCAGCACGGCGAGGAGCCGGGCGATGCCCACCCAGGAGCTCAGGGCACGGAGGTTCACCGTGGCCATGCTCTGTGCCCACGCCGCGCTGGGCAGGGCGTGCTGCCCGCAGCCGCTCTTATCTGCCCGCTGGGGAACGGGGCAGGGAGCCACCAGCTCCTCCCCAGCCTCCCGTGCCAGGGACCCCCGGCCCTGCTGCCGCTGCCACCACGCTGCCACCACGGCGGGTGGATCATTAACGCGGGGCTGGGCAAAGGGCGGTGACACCGAGCCCTGCGGGGAGGGCGGGCACGGAGCCACCATGTGCCAGCTGGCAGCGAGACCCAGCCCTGCCTACCGCAGGAGGGACAAAAGGGCCTTTCAGCACCCCCAGAGTACCAGGGGGCACCCCGACACTCTGACAGGGCTTAGTACAGCAGGGCAGCACCCGCTGGGTCCCCCTGAGGGTTTTAGGGGCTGCACCCAGTACGGTGCCCCTGGCAGGAGGGTGCCACAGCTGGGTGTAGCTCTTTCACACCCTTGCAGGCAACACTTCCACACCCCTCCGGCACCTCCGCTCCCCTCCCGGCACCTCCAGCACCTGATAAGCGGTTTAAAATCCAGCTGTGCCAGCTGCCTCACTGGGCAGGGAGGGTGAGGTGGCCATGGGGAGGGCACCTGCACCCTGGTCACACCCCACAGGCGGCACAGGAGGAGGGTGGCACATCAAAAGTTGGAAATCCAGCAGGAGGGTGAAGGCTGAAGGCTCTGGATTAACCTTTAATGTCACACAGGGTCCGGGGGTCTGTGCCCGTGGCAGAGTTTGGGGATGAGGGACCCAAGTCAGGGCAGCCGGGCACTCTTGGGGGGTTCACCCCCGGCAGGCTCCTGGCACAGCCATGGTGGGCAGGGGTGGGCGCTGCCATGGGGTCCAGTGGTGATCTGGGGGGGCACAGGGTGGCTCAGAGGTGGCTGCTGGCCTCGCCCTTGCCAGGCAGCCCGTTGAGGGGGCTCAGCCCCGGCCGGTTGCTCTCGTTCAGCCGCCGCACGCGGTAACTCTCGTAGTGGACGTTGTGGGTGATGTCCTTCAGGTCCTGCAGGTGTGACCTGCCCGGGGTGGCAGGGGGAGGAAGGGCATCATGTCGCTGTCCCCCCCACCCTGCTGTCACCCCGTGGGGTTCCAGCTCTCCCCACCCTGTCCCCACTCACCGGATCAGCAGGTCCCGCAGGAGGGGGAACTCGCAGTGTGCTGGGTTCTCCACTGCAAGGCAAGGCAGAGGGGCAGGGCTGGCAGGAGGGCTCTGGGGTGCCCGGGCAGCACATCCTGGCACGCTCTGGGTGCCACCGGAGCACAGCACAGCTCCGTGCCACCTGCGGCTCGGCACCCACCCAGGTGAGGACACCCCGGGGTGCTGCTCCCTGCACCTCTGGGGGCTGGGGGTGTGAGGGGCTCTGCTCACCTTCAATGATGCCCCACTTGGTCTTGCGGCCCAGCACCCGCTTGCCGTTCACCTGGTGCTCCTGGTCTGCCCCCACCACGGCGAAGGGAATCTTCTCCTGCCAGCAGAGGCTGTGCTCGCCCCGGGTGCTGCTCCCCTGGGCTCCCCAGGGTCCCTGTCCCCCACCCTGCGCCCCAGGGGCTGTCCCCTCCGTCCCAGCATCCCGGCACTCACACGAATCCTGTCGTTCAGTGCCCTGTCTTCGGGGTCCTGGTCGAAATCCTCCTGCGGGTACACGCTGATGGTGTGGGTCTTCAGGTCCTCCTGGATCTGCGGGACACGGGGCTTGAGCCGGGGCTGTGGGGACATGGGGCAGCCCGGGAGCCCCTCGGGGACCCGTCCTCACCCGCTGCTTGAATTCTGCCCGTTCCTCCAGGGTGAGCGTGTCGGCTTTGGCGATCACCGGCACCACGTTGACGATCCTGCTGAGCCGCCGCATGAACTCCAGGTCCAGCGGGCGCAGCCTGACAAGGGCCACCGTCACTCCAGGGTGTCCCCAGCTCTGCCACTGGGGGGTGACCCCACCACTACCACCCCAGGGTCCCTCTGAGGTGACCCCAGCACCATCACCCTGAGGGACTACCCACCACTACCACCCCAGGTTCATACCCTATCTCTGTCACCCTTAGGTGACCTCACCATCATCATCCCAGGGTGACACAACCACCCCACAGTGACCGCCCCGCCACCGTCACCATGGGGTGACAATACCACTACCACTCCAGAGTCACCCTGAGGAGTCTGCACCACCACCACCTCAGGGTGACCCCCCCATTATCACCCCAGATTCCACCACCACCACCTCAGGGTGACCCCACCATTATCACCCCAGATTCCACCACCATCACCTCAGGGTGACCCCACCACCATCATCCCAGGGTGACACAACCACCCCACAGTGACTGCCCCGCCACTGTCACCATGGGGTGACAATACCACTACCCTGAGGAGTCTGCACCACCATCACCTCAGGGTGACCCCACCATTATCACCCCAGATTCCACCACCATCACCTCAGGGTGACCCCACCACCATCATCCCAGGGTGGCACACCCACGCCGTGGTGACCCCATCCCCTACACGTGCTGTGAGTGGGGACTCACCAGTGGCCTGTTGGGGGGACGAAGTAGACGCATCCATGGACGCGGGTGTCCGGGATCTTCCTCTTGCGGGTGATGAGGATCTCCTCCCGCAGGTACCTCTCGTACTGCTCGTTGATGATGGGCTCCCAGCTGAGGATGAGGAGTTGAGGGACAGCCCTGAGCTCAACCCCTGCCCCAAACTGCCACCCGGCGAGCTGGGCTCCTGCTCCCCATTGTGTCCTACCAGTTCTCATTGTTGATCTGGTCCCCAAACCCTGGCGTGTCGGTCACCGTCAGCTTCATCTTCACCCCCTTCTCCTCGATGACTGTGGGGCAGAGGTGGGTCAGGGGGTTAGAAACATTGGGGAAAAGCAGGGCACCAGGCGTGGGGGATGTTTTGAGGCTGTGAACGCAGCTTCAGGCCCTCAGCCCTGTCCCCTGCTTGTCCCAAGGGCTGGTGGTGGTGACCTTACCGTGGGTGATGGACTGGAGCTGCACCGTTTTGGGAATACGCTCCTCCTGGCCGGGCTGTGAGGATTTGCGGCTCACCTTGGACTTGAAGAGGGTGTTCACCATGGTGGACTTCCCCAGCCCGCTCTGCCCTGAGGGGACACGGGCAGCTCTGGTTTGTCCCCCAGGGCAGTAACATCTTGATATCCACTTGGGAGCACCCCAGAGTTTGGGACAACTCTGGTTTATCCCCAGATAAATTTCTTCCCCAAGGCAATAACCCCTTGGAATCCACTTGGGAGCATCCCAGAGGTTGGGATAGTCCATTTTATCCCAGGAACAAATTTGTTCCCCAAGGTCATAACCCCGGTACACATCTGGGAGCAACCCAGGTTGGGCTAGTCTGGTTTATCTTCCAAACGAATTTATTCCCCAAGGTGACAGCCCCTCAACATCCATTTGGGAGCATCTCAGAGGCTGGGATGAGTTCACCTATCAGATTAGATGCTATGTGGTACGGGATATTACTACTTCTCAACTGTTTGCTACTTAAATCAGTTAAAACAATTTAAATTTCCTGAAAATCCCTTAAAATCATGTTTTCCCTGGCATGGTGGAATCGGAGCCAGGGTTCCCACCCCACCCAGGAGCAAACCCCACGCCCAGCGCTCACCCACAACCATGATGTTGAACTCAAAGCCTGTCTTCATGGTTTTGATTTTCATCTGGTCGAGCACAGCTTCGATCCCCACGTATCCGAAGAGTTGGCAGCCCACGGGGCCGGGCGCCATGGAGAGGGGCACCGCCCCCTCCTTCTCCTCCTCCTCCTCCTCCTCCTCCTCCGGCACGGCCGGCGGCTCCATGCTGCGCTCCTCGGGCTCCAGGCTGCTCCCTGCAGCGCGGGGTGGGCAAAGGCGGTGAGCCCGGACCCCTGGGTGCCCACCCCTGGGTGCCCACCCCTGGGTGCCCACCCCTCGGTGCCCACCCCTCGGTGCCCACCCCTGCGGCGGCGGCGTTGCCCCAGCAGCCGGCGGGCACGCAGCCCCGGCACATTCCCGGGAGCCGGCGAGGCTCGGCATGGCAACGGGGCACGCCACCCCCCGTTACCGAGGGGTCCGAGGGGGTACCGGGGGTATCTTTGAGGCGGTCGTGCCACCGGACCCCACGGTGCCACCGTGTGCCCGGCCCGGGCGGTCAGCAGCGGCACCGCTCCGGGCCCGGCACAGCGGAGCGGGGGCTCCGGTCCCGGGGCAGTCCCCGCACAACCCCGAGCCCCCGGGGACACCGGGGGTTTGCCCGGGGGACGGTGCCCGGAGCGTGCCCCACACCGGAGGCCACCGGAGCCCCGTGCCCGCCCCAGCCCTTTGTGCGGCAGCCCCAAATCCCTTTCTTCCTCCTCCTCCTCCTCCTCCTGCTGCTTCCCAGCACGGCCATTGTTCGGGTCCTACCTCGGCGCCGCGGTGCCCTCGCTCAGCGCCCCGTTACGGCCGGGGGGGTCCCCGGGGTGCCTTCCGCACCCCCATCCCCGCCGCAGCCCGGCCCCTTCCCTCCGCCTGGCACCAACCCGGCTCCGCCGAGGCTGCGGCTCCCACGCATGACCAGCATGGCAATACCCGCCCCCCGCAGCCCCCTCCCCACACAGCCAGGCCCCTGCGCCCGGTGTGTGATGGACTGGTGGGGTGGGGAGGGCTGTGCCAACCCGGCTGTGCCCACCCGGCTGTGCCCACCCGGCACATGGCACTGCTCGGCCTCCCAGCCGGGCCAGCACGGATGGACACCCCTCCCATGGCACAGGACACCCCCACCCCTCACTTTGTCCCCCATCACCCCCGTGAGTGGCTGCGTGGCACTGAATGGCGGTGGGAGTGTCTGGCCGTGGGCACGATGCCCACTGGCGCCCACGGGCAGCGGGGCCCACCCTGCTCTGTGCCCCCCACCCTCCCCAGCAGCAGCTGTGCCCAGCCCGGCGCGGTGGGGTGGGAGAAGGGCTGGTGGCCGTGCCAGCCGCCCCACTGCCGCAGTGCCCCACGGCGCTTGCGTCCCCCCACGCCGCAGCCTCCCCCGTGTGTGCCAGCCGGCGCTTGGCACTGGCGAGGCTGGAGCGGCAGCTTGCGATGGCCCGGGCTGCGAGGGACCTGCTGAGACCGTGCCCGTGTGCCACGCAGCCGGGGGACAAGGGACATGCGGGCAAGGGGGTGGCCTGGGCCAGCCCGGGCTGCCAGGGGATGATGGAGCCGAACACCTCCATTGCCATGGCAACGGCATCCCGGCGTGGCAGCCACCCAACCCCCTGTGCCCGCTGGGTGCCGGAGGGATGGCAGGCTTGGGGACAGCAGTGTCGCATGTCCCAGCTGCCCCTGCGCCCCCTGGGTCGGGATGTTCCTCGGAAGTGGTGAAACAGCCGCGGATTTCCTGGTGACAGCGGTGACACCCGGCTGGGGGCTGGGGGAGGGCAGGGTGCTCACTCCGGCGGGGATCCACCCACCCGGCACCGGCCTTGCCAACGGGGCTTCCACAGGCTGGCAGAGACGTGGGGAGGGAGGGAGGTCCCCCATCAGCCCCCCGTGCCCCCAGCCTGG